GATCATTATAATATATTTAAATGACATAAGTTATGGTATAGTTAAATTATAGATGTTATACTAATAAAAGTATATTAAAAATTAAAACCATTGGTATCTTTGATATAGGATCGATAATTGGCCGATATCAATTTAATATAGGAAATATCGGATCGGATCGCCTCCAAAAAGTGGTGTCGGTACACCCCTATAAAATATAATCATTTTTAAATTCTTATTTTTAAAATTTTAATATTTATGCAAGACGCATTTTTACTTTTGAGCAAGTAAGTAATATTTTTATAGATATTTAAGACTATTCTTTAATTTATAAATAATTAAACGTAAAAATGAGGTAAATGTTATAGAATTTCAGTCTTTTTTGTCATTCATTCTATTTAACGAGTAAATATTTCAAAAAGAAAATTTTTTTGTTATAAAAAATAAAATTATGAAGATATGGGAAAAACAAGAGAAAAAAATATTAACAGTGAAACAAAAGCTCTAATAATTGACGCGTTAAAAATGGATAGTATCAAAAATATAGCATCATGTTTTAAAGTAAGCTATAAGACAGTGATAAATATTAAATACTCTCATGATCCCAAATATGGTTCACGTGCACGGAAGAAATTAAATCAAGAACAGGAAGAATATATATTAAATTGTATAAATTTGGATTGGACTTTATCCTTAAAAAGGTAATGAGAAATGATTAAAGAAAGATATGATGTGAATATCAAAAAATACAATATCAAGGTTACTCTCAGGATTTAGGTACAGCTTTAAAAGAGTATCACTAGAGAAAATACCGAATCAAATATAGAGATTCACAAAGAATACGCGAATTGGTTTGTAGATGTAGCCTATAAGAAAGAAATATTTATCGATGAGAGCGGATTTTCAATATCAATGAGGCGGTTATATGGATATTCACAAATAAATAAAAAGGCTATTAAAAATGTTCAAGAGATAGAAAATGATTATACTATCATTGCTGCTCTCACAATTGCAGGAATATTCAGATTCGAAGTTTTTGATGGCCACTGCAACGCTATATACTTTAGAAACCTTTTAAATGAAATATTAAATCATTTTGAAGAAGGAAACATGATGAATATGATTTTTGTGATGGACAATGTTCCACATCATTATCATACAATTAGGGAATCTATAGAAAGAAGAGGGCATACATTGAAATATTTACCACCTTACAGTCCTTATCATAATTCCATTGAAAATGTGTTTTTAATGGAAGGATTTTGTCAGAAATAAAAATTAATAACGAGGAAGAATGAATTTGTTTCATAGAGCATGAAGAAAGAGGGATATCTGAGGAAAATGCCAAAAATTATTTTAGAAATATGGAGACCTATATTTCAAAATGTAGAAGGGGAGAAATTATTAATGATTAGTATAAATTTTTGTTTCTTACTATTAAATATATATCGTAATTTTTTTTTTCTCTTTAGCTTTCACCTTTTCTGATGGTAAGCTCCCTTAACATCTCTCTCCACTTTATGTTATTCATACAATCTCTTTTATCTAATTTATACTTCTTTATATTGGCTCTAACTTTATGGCCCCATTGAAGTTTTGTGCCCATCACTTCCAAACTCTCAACCTTATTTCCTATGTAGTTCATAGGCCTTCTCATTGTGTGCCCATACCACCTAAGTCTGTTTACCATTAACTTAGTCTTAATGGGCACTACCTTTAAACTACTTAGTATTCTTGTACTGCGCACTTTATCCTTTCTTGTTACCCTCGCAATCATCCTCAGCATTCTCATCTCCATAGTCTGTAGACTTCTCTCGTCTGATTCTTTGGTTGGCCATGTTTCTGAACTATATAGAGTTGGTTGTACTATGGAACTGTAAATTTTCCTTTTAATTTGTGTGGGATTCTTTTGTCAAAGAGCACTCCAGATAAAGATTTCCACTTTAACCACCCTTGATTAATTTTACTCTTTATCTCTTTCTCTATTGTGCCGTTTGTTTGTATAGTGGAGCCCAAATATTTGCAGCTTTTAATTGCCGATATCTGTCATTCATTTATATCAATACTCTCTGTTTCATCTCCTATCACCATATAATCCATCTTTTCTCTATTTACTTTTAGTCCGTGCTTTTCTAGGATATTTATCCAACTCACTAAACTTTCTTTCATTTCATCCTTGGATTCGGCACACAATATCATCTGCAAATATCATATTCCACGGGACTATTTGAGGTATAGACTGTGCTAATACATCTATTACTTTAATAAAGAGAAGTGGGCTGAGAGCCGACCCTTGATGAACTCCTTCGGCTATTGTGAAGCCTGCTGAAGTACCTGTTGTGTTACGGACCATTGTTGTATGGCCCATATACATATCCTGTATTATTCTTATATATTTTTCGGGAAGTTTTTGTGGCGTAGCGCCCACTAGATAAGTTTTCTTGGGATTCTATCGAAGACCTTTTCTAGATCGAGAAAGATCATGTGTAGCTTTTTGTTCTTTTCCCTTAATTTTTCACTCATTTGCTTAATTGCGTGGATAGCATCATTTGTTGAACTTCCAGGCATAAAGCCAAACTGAGTCTCTCCTATTTCGATTATGTCTCTTAAGCTTTTTTCGTATAGATTTAGACAGTGTGACATAAGTTTTATATTTCTGTAATTTTGACAATTGTGTGGATTCCCTTTATTTTTAAAGATAGGAACTAGATATCTATGCCTCTATTTTTGGGGAACCTCTTCATTTCCAAGTATTTTATTGTATAGATTTGTGAGGAAATGTATTCCATCATCTCCTAATGCTTTAAGGCTTTCTATTGGAATATCATCTGGACCCCTAGCTTTGTTGTTTTTCATATGCTTGAGGCATATGATTATCTCTTGTTCTGTTATTGGTTGTACAAGGTTTTGACATGGGGAGTGTTCATCTAAATGTAGTATGTGGGGATTAAAGTTGAGAAGCTCCTAAAAATATTCTTTCCATCTATTCATTATTTCTTTTTCCTTTATTATCAATTTCCCATCTTTATTTTTGGTTATTTTCGGAGCTCCGTTTATATCCCTAGAGTTCTTTTCTCGCTGTTTGGCTAATCTGTATATTTTATTTTGCCCTTCTTTGGTATGTAGTTCTTCATACATGTCATCGTATGCCATAGCTTTGGCCCTAGCCACCGCCTTTGTAGCTATTCTATTGGATTTTTTGTAATTTGTCTTTTCATCTGGATTTTTGGATTTGTACCATATTTTATATAGGGCTTTTTTCTCCTTTATAGTGGTTTGTACCTCTTCATTCCACCATTATAGTTCTTTGTATGATTTGTTGTCTCCCCTTGTCAAGCCTAGTGTCGATTTGGCAGTGTCTATTAATCTGGATGAAAGGTCTGTCCAAGGAATCTATTGTTTCAATGTTTGCATTGAATGCAAAGGCATCTGTCATTGTTTTTAATTTACCCCATTTGATGCATAGTTCCAGTTTTATCTTTTTTTGAGTGGATTTATTTATGTGTAAATCCATGACCAGTAGCTTGTGTTGTGCGGCTATATCTTCTCCTGGGATGACTTTGCGGTCTATTACATCTTTTAATCTTCTGCGAGAGATTAGCATGTAATCTATCTGTGTTTTCCTTGTACCACATTCATATATTATTAAATGACTGTCTTTTTTCCTGTAGTAGGTGTTGGTTAAGAGGCATACGCAAATTTCAGTACATGCTCTCTTTCATCATTTCTTTCTCCGTATCCAAAACCACCATGATGCCTTTTGTAGATATCTCTTGCCTTTTCCACATGCGCATTTAAGTCACCACCTATTATGACTAAGTCATCCTTAGGAATTTCCATTACATCTTCATCAAGGACAAGGATAGCTCTAAAGTCATCTTTCTTCTCTTCTTTGCAACCAGTTTGAGGAGCATATACCGAAAGGATGTGTAGTATTGATTGACCAATGCAGAGTTTTATCTTTATTAGTCTATCAGAGATCCTGTTGACTTCTACTACAGGAGGTTAGATCTTGACTGAGGATGATGCCGACACCATTCCTATTACTAATAATTCCATTATAGTACAATTTATATCCATCTCCAATCATTAGTCTTCTGACCTTTCCATTTCGTCTCTTGTATGCAAGCCATATTTCCATTTGTTTCCTTCATTTTGTTTATTAGACAAGTATCCTTAGCACCCGGCTGTCCAGGCCTGTAGGTGACCGGGGTGTCATCTCTAAGCTCCAAAATTCATCTTACCATATGTCTTTACACATCAGTCATCGAAAAAAAACTTGAAAGTTTTTATGCTCCTTACCAGGATTGAACCAGCGTCCTCTTCGTCCTTCTGTTTCCAAGCATACATCTAACCCATTAGGTCATAGAATTTTTTTTATTTTACATATCAAATTATTTAGTTACAATTAAGATTCTAATAAAAAAATATTGTCTGCCAAAAATTTAGTGAAAATTAAATATAATTCCTAAAAAGAATTATCAAAAATGAGAAGAAAGAATATTAAGAAAAGGTCAAAAAAATAAAGATTAAAAATGACTTAAAGAAATTGGAAAGGTTAGAAATGTATGTATAAAAGATTACAATATAAAGAGAAAAAATGAGAAAAAGAATATTGTATGTATGATGAAAAATATGTAAAGAATTGTTTAAAAAAATGGAGCAGAGAGGTGAAGAAAAATATAAAAACAAAAAGAATAATTTTCAGCTGGCTACTTTTGAAAAACTTTATAATGAATAAAAAATGGCAAATAATAGAATGAATAAATAGTACATGTAAAAATTATATAAAAAAAATGTTTATAGTATTTAATAATTTAAAAATAAGGGAATTTAAATAAAGAAAACGGTACAAACGATGCACTCCTGTAAAATAAAGGGTTATCGCCATTCTTTGTGGGTTAAAATATGCAAAGTTGGCTTTACTTTTTAACATTAGGGTATTTATTTGGACTCTTTGTAGCATTATTAAATAAAAATGTATCTGGGATAAAAAATTTAACCGAATAGTTGATGTTTACCTGAAATATATTGACGATATGAAGACTTATCAGTTGAGTCATGATTGTTCCAAAATACTTGCAACAGATCAAGATAAGTTATTTTGCTAGGATCATAGTACAATTCGATACTTTCTATATAGTCCCCGCTAAATATATTTTTTAGAAGTAATGAAATTAAAAAATAATAATCATATGATTTTAGGCCACTTATGATATTGCCTATCCTTTTAATTTTTGCCGATATCATGGACCGATATCAAATTATTTAACCTATAAGGTCAGTTGAGTCTTTCTATGCAATTTTGCACAAAAAAATTCTATAACTTTTCATAAAAATTGTTAGTTAGCAATTACCTTTTGATATATGATATATCGGTTCGGTTAAGGTTCCAGGAAGAAAAAATGATAAAGGTTTAAGTTTGGTTCAGGATTATAATTTTATAAAGGTTCAAGTTTTAAAACGTTTAATAATGTTAACAAAGTTTCAATAATTATTTTAAATATATTTTATTTATTTTTTATATATAATAATGGCGATTTACAATATTCGAGCCTTCATATATTTTATCTTAAAATTTTCTTCTTTTCTTCATTTTAAAAAGTTTGTAGTAAACTTTAATATTTTTCATTTCCTTCCATAATTTAATCATTATAAATTGAGAATTCCTAATTAAAAGGTAAATATTAATAATCTTATTTCTGTATATCATTTATGATATTATAGTTTACTTTTATTTTTAAGAATGCCTTTAAATTATGTTATAAGTAAACGTGGATCAAAACAACTTGTTCATGATTGATCATATTCAGGAAAGAGAGAATCATAAATCAAAAAATAATGTGTAAAGTCTTATAAATTTTTGGAAGGTAGACCTACCCGTTGTAAAGGGTAGTGCCATACATTAAATCAAGAAATAATTCTTCATATAGATAATCATAATCATGTGTTAGATGGTACTGAAGTCTTAAAAACCGAATGCTAAATATTATTAAAATACGTGCCATTGAGGTGACCATAAAAACATTTAAATATTACTTTATCGTGTTGCAACAGGAAATCCTCTATATACACCTCAAAAAATTATAAGCATTGACATAGCAGAGTGTTCCCTATCCCATCATGCTGCCGAACCATTCAGCGGGCTAGATCGCTTATAAGTTCTACATTACCTATCCCGACAAACAGTTATGATCTAAATTTACTACCCGATAGCTATAGAATAACATGTTCGGAGGCCATTCCTTCAATATGATAGCAATCATTTGCAACCAGCTGTCAAGAATTTTAATATTCGCCATCGCCCAAAGCCTTACATTGATGGCGGAAAGCAGTCACTTATGCAGATGGTACGTTTATTTTTCACTAACTTTGGACCTTCAATGTCCTATATTATAAAACGGTTGTACCCACAATATTTGCGCTATTACCGAATAAATTTAATATTCGCCACCGCCCAAAGCCTTACATTGATGGCGGAAAGCAGTCACTGGTAATCTGTAGAACATGCATGAATAGGGTTCATGATAATGATAAGGTAAATATTGGTAATGGAGCTACTCTGGAAAAAGTGGGAAAGGTCTATTATTTGGGTGACATACTTTTAAACGCAGATGTATGTTTTGATTCAGTTGCTGTTGCATTAGTAAGATATGCATGGAAAATGTTTTGAGAGATGTATTCTACAGATAAGAAAATATCTCTGAAGCTGAAAGGAAAAGTTTATGTAAGCAGTGTGAGAAGCTGTATAGTTTACGGTGGCGAAATATGAGTAATAAAAGTGGTGCATGAATAGAAGCTGGAAAGAAAGGAGAAGAGAATAGTCGGATGGATGTGTGAGGTGTCAGAGAGAGAAAAACAAGCAACGAATTGAGGTAAAGAATTGGCATAGAAGCGATTGGAGTTATAATGAGAAGAAGTAAACTGAGATAGGGTACGTTGAACTAAAAACGAAGGATGATTGAGTTAAGAGATATTCTTCGTTGGAAGTAATAAGATAGGCCTCGAGGAAGACCAACGAAGATGCGGATGAAAAGTAATCGAATGATATGAAAACAATTTGTTTTACAATTAACAACGCCCATGATAGTAAAAAGTTGAGAAAAGGGATCAGAGGGGAAACTGGCTTACCCTGGTAAACCTACCTGGAAAACCGCCAATAAACGATAAAGAATATGTAGCCACTTTATCTTTGCAAAAGTAGTAATCATTGATTATTTTTTACTAAAAATATAAAATTGGATAATAAAATATATAAAGATCACTTTTTCAGAGACTTGACTCTCTATATTTTTTCCCCCCGTTCCATTACAGTTTCTTCAAAACAAAAAGGAACCTTAAATTAGACAAGCATCAAGAATAATATTTGTACGATTTTAATTTAAGTAAAGAATTAGAGTTCCTAGCGGTCTCACCTGAGGAATTCAAATATATATTATTATAACATTTTAAAACTGGTTTATTATATATTGCATAGATAGAAACAAAAACATATCGAAAATAATTAATAAATTTTTATGTAAAATTTAATTTTAGGCGATTGAATCCGATTGTCCATGATTAGACTACAAAAATGTTAATATATTATTTAAAAAATTAGAAAAGTCCCATAGGTCTTCAGATATAGAGTAGTCAATTTGGAATGCGAAATTGAGCTAAAGTAATGTAAAGGTATGCTAAAACCAGATTTGAATAAAAAAAAACAAATTTATCGGCCCCAATAACGTTTAACACTTTTTATATTTAAAAAAGTCACATATATATTGATAATTCACCAATAAACCTGATTGTAGAATATTTTTTTATCTATTAATTTCAAGAAATATTAATGAAAAAAGAGAAATTATGGTCATTGGCAATAATTTTTATTAAAGATGCAGTTTCAAAAGTTATAAAAATTAAATTTAAACTAGATCATATTTTTCAAAACTTATTTGAAAATGAAATATAGTGAATAGTTATATTAAGAAAAAATGTTTCTCTCCCATCCTACTTTTATCTCATGCGACCGAATCTCTTAAAAAAATATAATTACTCAGGAAGCAAAATTCCGTGAGTTCAGAACAAAAATGTTACTTATTATTCTCTCTTCTATCTTTTCGGTAGATAATGTTCCAGACTTTGGGAAAAAGAGAATAGAACTTCGTAGACTTCCAGTTCTAACCATAAAAAATTGCATGGTCCCTGTTACAGGTTTAGCTCGGCTTACTTTTCTCACTCACTCCCTTCATATTTAAACAAGATATTATTTATACATAATTATTATAATATAATAAAATTATTAAATTTATGATATATAAATTTTATTTGGCAAAAGTTATTTCGAATAAATTGTTAATTTTAATATTCATACATACAAAAGATTAAATTTAAAAATCGAAAATAATTTTTTAAGGTAAAAAATTTCGTAATCCACGGTATATATAAACAACAGCGTGAAAATAGGCGCGTCGTCGATAGTTAAAGTAAGATGCCGCCACCAATTTTTGATCGGTTCATATAAAAAAATTAATTAATAAAATTTTAATTATTTGCATTTATAATAATAATAAAATTATTTTTAGTTAAAAATAATAATTTTTTATAATGGCAGAAATCTCCCAATATGGACCTTAATTCTCGTTTAAGATCCACTAAATTTTCCAAAATGATAATTGAATCCGGGATCGTAATTTTTTAACTGCTCTAGTCCGGTTCTGGCCAATCTATAGAGCCTTACCAAAGAAATAAACATTAGTATACACGAATTGAAATCCTATTACTTATTTTTTTTTTAAATATGCTAATGAAAAAATTGGGGGCGGCGCCTTACTTTAAAACTATAGACAATCATCTGTACGCCAATTTTTTGCAGAGAAAATAAAGTAAAAAATAAAATATTTACGAATAATTCAAAATATGTTTTTTAAAATACATATTCGAAGTACTATTCGTAAAATACGAATCGAATAATTCGTTTTAAAGCCTAACTAAAATTAATAATTTACTTTAAACAAATTTTGCCAAAAATCCATATATTATAAATTTAAATTATATTAAAATTATAATTATACATGCATACAAATTATTTTGTTAAAATATGAAGGGCACTTTGAGTGAGGAAGGTAAGCCTAACCCGGGACGCATGTAATTTTTTAAAGCTAGAACTGAAGGCCTGCAAAGTTCTAATGTCTTTTTCCAAAAGTCTAAAGTTGTACCTGAAAGAGATAGTGGAGAAAATAATAAATCACATTCTTGTTCTAATCTCTTTCAGAATATCTTTTTTGCATGAGTATTGGATGAAAGTTTATCCACTTATAAATTTGCTTCAGAATAACATTTTTTTTAAATTTTAATACGTATTCTATATCTTTATAAGGCAAAATTCGGTCGAATAATGTTATAAAAATGGAATGGGAGTGAATATTTATTTGAGATGACTATCCATATTTATTTTTTGCAAATGAGGGTTTAATAACAAAACTAATCACAAATAAATTTCGGCTCAAAAGTCGGCTTGAGCTAATTCCTGAGTCGGTTTGAACCAACGGCTTGAGCCAACTCCTGAACCGGCTTATTAATTTCATGTTATCAAAATTTCCACCAAATTAAGTCTAAAATCCCTGAAGCCGAATTCAGGTCCAGAACTATTCTTAGTTTCGACATTAATATTCTTATTATAATTTTTGTTCACATTAATCAGTAACCCAAAATTTAGCAATTTACCAGACATTTGTGTTAGCCGTTTATAAAAGACTCAAATGGAGTCGTTTTACATAATACATGTAAAAAACAAATATCATATTTACTTATAAATAAAAAAATTGAGCCGACCGAGTCGGCACATGCGGCCCCTTGATCGGCTTGAGTCGGAGCCGTTTTTTATGACTACAACTCGAATTGCAAGTAGTAATTGTCCTAGTTTTGTATAAAATTACAATTTTTTAATTATAGACCTTAATCAACAATAATGCTTATTGTTGATTGGTAGGATTTTAAACAAAGTATAATAATAAATAATAATATTTATATTTTATTTGGCTTATATTTTTTTGAAAATTTTAATTTTCATGGATTTTAATTGTATTCGAAAAAATGGTAAAAATAAAATATTGAAATTAGAAAAAAGATTTTAATTTTATATTTTATTTATTTTGGATTAATTGTTATAAGAAAATTGAGTTTAAGTTGAATCTTAGATATTTAAGTTTTCTTATTTTATTTTAATTATAGTATTAAAGTGTTGAGTGATAAATTGAGACTTAGAAAGTAAGAACTTTTAAAAACTATTTCGATGCAACTAGCTTTGTTTCCTCGGATCTCAATGATGTTTTATTAAACTTATTTTCGTCTTTTTTATAATTGTTTACTTAATTTATTTATTCTTCTTTAAATGTCATTTTAATTTTTTTAATGTTATTTTAATATCGATATATAAAATTTTGAAATCGATAAGGCGAACGATGGATCGAATCTTTTGGGGTGATATGAAAATATCCTATGTGATCAATATATATTCTCACTGCTACGAAATTATCTAAAAATATTATTGGGAATAAATAAAATTTAACAGAGAATTTCAAGATTTTCCTGATATCCGTATTAAAATTATTCGAAGGAAAATAGTATTTGATATACAAATATATAAATTATTATCTCAAATTCTGAATAAAAAAAAAGGGGATAACGGGAAAATAAAATAAATAATACTCCAAAATTTGGAAACTATATTACCAAGGTAAAATAATATAAATTAATTTTAAAAATAATTTGATACAAAATGTTGGAAATATAAAATGCCAGCTCTCTTCACTTTCGTAGATTTTAGTAGAGCATTTGATAGCGTAAATCATGATGCCCTGTGGAGAACACTTTTGGAATGCGGGATTGAATCTAATGTTATCTACATTCTAAAGAATCACTATTCTAATTTAATCTAATATATTATCCTAATAATCTTCGGCTCTATGTGAGCGGTTATTTCTAGTAGGGACAGATATGATAATGAAGAATGAAATGTTTTTGAAGAAAGAAGCAATTAGAAAACTTCATGGTTGAAACTGACTGTTGTCGGAGTCGGACTTAGCATGAACATTCAACAAATCAAATCGAATATCTACAAATAGGAATATCAAATTATTCTATTCATATTTTTATAGATCTAGAGACTGGAGTTGGTGAGTTACCGCACTTTTCAAAAGCATTTTTATATCATAATAGTATAATATTTTTAAGATTGTGATTAATTTTTCAAAAAAAGATAATTAATGGGCTGAGATCAAATTCTAACCTACAATCTTATATTAATTAATTATTTTTTATAGAATATTTTGAAATTTTTGATTACCATGGATTAAAACTATATTTATAATAAAAACATTAAAAAAATTATGTAGTTTGGAAATATTTTTAGATCAAAATATTCACTACACTATGAATATTTTAAAAATTCGCCCCTCTGTGGAAAATATCCTGCGGACGTCTCTGCCAATAGACAAAAAAATTAATAAAATTGGAAAAAATTAGTCTAAATATTTTTAAAATTTAATGTTGATGTAAAAAATAAATTGTTACATGCTTTTGTACGTCGGTAGATCAGGTTCGGATCCACCAGTATAACCAACCTTAGTACGCATGATTCCTTTGATAGATCCAAATAACGAATCAGGTCCCCAAAAGCATCCCATCGAAAGAGTGGCCACTTTAGTCTTACATCTGGGGTCAGGTATTGGTTTGAACTTAGACAGCTTTAAAAAAGTTTAAATCTATAGTTTATAGTAAAAAAAATTTGGATAAAATGAATATAGAAAAATTTAATTTAATCAAAAAATCATTATAAGCATAATAAAACTACATAATAAATAGATAAATTTTAGCCAGAGTTTCCAACCGAACCTATATAATTTGATATTTTTAATGAATCTGAACCAAACCTTTTTGAAAAATTTAGAGATAACCAAATCATTATAAGTATAATAAAACTACTAGACAAATAGATAGGTTTTAGCCAGTTTCCATCCGAACCGATATAATTTGATATTTTTAATGAATCTGAACCAAACCTACTTGAAAAAATTTAGAGATAACCTAACCTTTGAACTTTATAAACCGGTTTAAACAAATATAGGTATTTATTTTATAAATATAAATTTATGTAATTTAAATCTATAATATATATAAAAGCCGTGTCACAGTCACAGTGTCTCAATTTATAATATATATTTAAAAAATGGTGAATTTTGAAAATGGCCTAATCGGCAAGATCGTAGCTTATAAATCTGATGGCTTTGGGTTAGAATCCCAGCAAAAAAAATTTTTTTCATAAAAATACATTTTCTAAAAATTTTGCATTGTAATCTTTATTTTAAAAAATTATTATTATTTTTCTTTCAAATTATTGTTATATTTATTTGAAGAAGAAGGTGGGGGAAGGGGATGTAGGGGAAATTTTTTGGCTTAGGCAAGGGCCCTGCCCTTAATCGCCACTTTTACGCCCTAAAAAGCTAATGCCATCACTTATCTATACCTAGCTTTGGTGGAAGGGTAGCTTGCATACTGAAGAGTGAAGAGAATTTGATATTTATATAGATTCGAGAATATTTTTATAAAGAACCACAAGGTCTAATAATATTTCAAGGGACTTAAAAATTGTTGATAAAGGTATGTAAAATTTTAGGAATCAATAAAAAATATTTAAATAAATAAAAAGCCTGATAAGCTAAATGTATCAAAATATTTTTCATTCTATTGAATTTGACAGAAATTCATCTCTGAAATGAAATATAGCACTTTCACCTCCAATGGGTAAACCTAGGTGGGTAAAGCTAGAAGGGTGTGATAAATTAATTTTAAAATAATTTTTCTTTTAAAATTTATTAAATTAAAATTTTGTTTAAGGATAGGCAAAAATAATATAATTTCCCGTCCAAATAGATTTTCTTTTCTTAAATTGTTATATTGCTGGGTTTCATAATTTTGTAACCAAATTCAATTAATAAACCTATTTTTTATATTATATTTCTTTACCTTTAGCACAATATATTCCATATTTTTTGCCCTCAAGTTGCTGGTAATATTTATGAAATTTCATACAAATGTATTTTTTTTTTAAATTTTACTAAATTAAATCATAGAATTTAGTAAAAACGTCAAAGACTTAGATTATTTTAGAATTAAATAATTTTTGAATAAACTACTAAATTAATAATCATTAAATAAATAAGAAAAATTTTCAGGTCCGACCCGGATTTTTTAAAAATATATTATAATTATTTTTGATTTTTATAGCTAATAATAGCGATTTCAAATATTTGGTAATAAAATATACGGCTTGGCCCTGATATTTTTTTAAAAAAAATTTCAGGCCCGGCCTGAGTATATTTTGTCCCGGCCTGTGTACCCGGAATATATTCTATTTTTCGATATTTTTTTAGGTTTAATTATTTTTTTATATAAATAAATTGTATATTTTTTAAACTAAGTGATTATAATTATTACTAGTAGATAGCCCGTCAAAAATGACGGGGAATGAAAATTTTCTTCTTACTTTTATGCATGTTACCTTTATTTGAAAATATCCAATTTTTATTCTTCTTACCCCCAATCCCTTCAGGCCAGGTTTAATCCATTAAAACTAAGTGATATGGTTTGAGCATAAATAAATTTAAAGCATTTACTTGATAATACCAATATTATTTGTTAAATATTACTGATTACTTATACCTAATATTTAATATAAAAAATATTCACAGGCAAAGTCCAAAGCCATATTAATTATGAAAAATTCTTCCGAGCCCAATGAAAGATCATAATAATTTTGGTAGTGTTAAGAACTGAAATAAAATATTTTAATAATCATAATGAATTTAAAAATACAATCAAAATTCAGACTTTCATGGGTTTTGGTTTTTTGATGGTCAAGTCCAGGCCTGCAAAAAAATTTGTTTTGGGTCAATGTCTGACCTATAATTAATAATAAAAAAATTCTCAAGCGTCCAAGCTAATTTTGAAAAATTTTTCCCAAGCCGAGCCCAATATAATTTAGAAAAATATTTTCCAAGCCCAGCCCAACCCTTAATAATTTTATTAAAAAATTTTCTCAAACCTGGCCAACCGATAGTAATTTAAAAATTTTTCCCAAGCCTGGAGATAGGTAAATTGCTAAAAACCATATCTATTTTTTTAGTCTATTTTAACCCAGCTCACCCCAACCTAGGCCAACCCATTAAGACTAAGAGTGAATACTATTTTTTTGAATAAAAATATATTTAAATTAGTTTTACCTGAGGGCCATATAAATATTCTGTGTTAAATATTACACCTATGCCTAATATTAAAAAAATTCCTAAGCCAGGTCCTCGCACTTGGTTTTCTCAAACCCGCAAAAGACCATAATAATTTTGATAGTTGAGGACTGTAATAAAATATATAAAAAGTCACAATGCATTTAAAAATACAATAAGAATATGATTGCATGGGCCTTGGTTGATCAGGCTTTGCCATGTCTTCAAAAAAAAATTTCAGGCCAATTTCTAGCCCATATTTAAAATTAAAAAATTTACAGGAATCTTAGACTATAATAATTATGAAAAATGTTTCTCAAGCTATGTCCAAGTCCATATTAATGGTGAAAAATATTTCCCAAGCCCAAGAAAACCCAAATAATTTATTTTGCCAGAAAAATAGGTCTGATGTAAGGGGTTTATAAGAATTAAATCCGTCTAATTTCAAAATTATCATCAAGAAGGGTGAATATCTGATTTACCTATGATTCGTGAAATTCATGAATACATGTTAAAGTACCATTCTGAATATGTTCATCCTAATTTAAATTTTAAACAAACCAAATGATTTATTACTTATTTACAAAATATAAAATTAAATTTAAGAAATTGTTATTAAATTACAATAGAAAAAATAAAAAGATATGTATAAGTTAACAAATAATAGGAAGTAAACTTCATCATTGTCAAATTTTTACCCTTCAACCCATGGCTTTTTGATCAGGCCTGGCTATGATTGCAAAAAAAATTTCAGACAAATCTATAACCCATAATTAATATTCAAAAATCTTAAAGCACCTCTATTTTAAATTTTATTCAATATGATTTCCATCACATATTTAAATTTTGATATTTCTAATACATACTCACAGTATACATTCCACCAGTTTTACCTCTTTTACTCTTAAATTTTAATATTTATATAAAATTTATTAATAAAGTATATTTAATACTATACACACAAACTAAATAATTACCCTTCAACATCTATATAATTATTATTTTAAATTTAATTATATTCAAGGTCCATGCGTGAAACTTTAAATATATATATAATTAATATTTTAAATTTATTTATATTCAAATTGGTGCATACGGTAAAGCAGAGGCTCGGGTTCGATTCTCGTAGAGAGCAAAAAATTAACATTACAATATATAGTCTCCTTAAATTTAAAATACATTAGTACGAAAACGATCGTGTTATGATTATGGAGATTATTGCACATATTGGAATTATCTAATATAGGAATATTAGATAATTCCAATATGTGCAAAATTTTACCTACAGGTCTCTGTATTAATTGGCTTTACCAACTAAGTTTGTAAATATATTACAATAAAATAATTTAACAGCAAAATGTTTATCACAATTTGAATATTTTCTTATAATTCCAATATGTGCAAAATTTTACCTACAGGTCTCTGTAATAAATGTCTTTGCTTTACAAACTATAGTAAGTAGATTACAATAAAATAATTGGACAGTAAATTATTACTTACCATAATTTGGAAATTTTCTTATCAAATAATAAATGAAAATTAACGGCAAAATTTAAAAAATAAAAAATGATTGTTAATTTAAATTAAATATATATGATATCGTAATAAAAAGTTGAGGGGGGGGGCTGCATTGAAAGAACGTTTGCCTTCCAATCGTGAAGTCGCAAATTCGAATCCCGGGGATGGCAAAAAAATTTTAAAAGAAAAATTAACATTACACTATATAGTCTCCTTAAATTTTAAATACATTACGGAGATACGAAAACGATCAGCATGTGATTATGGAGATTATATATATTAGATATCATAATTTTTTTATATAAATATTTTCAAATAATTGTTACAATTATTAAATACTTATAAAAAAATATATATTGGCAATAAATTAGCTCCGTGATGTTGGCCGAACATTTGGAAGCACTAACGATGAATCATATGTCATTTTTAGTGCTTATTTGTGCTTCAATCCTTATAGTAGCCGAATTTAAGGAAAAAAAGTTATAAGCAAAAATAAAAATTTGTGCCAACTTCACGCTTAATTGACTGGAAGCACTAACGATGAAACTTATATCATTCTTTAGTGCCTCGTTAGTAGAGGTTAGTGCTTAAATCACATTTGTAACCGAATTTAAGAATAAAAAGTTATTGAAAAAAAACAAAAATAAACAAATATTGGCGACGTGCCAAAACAAAAACTAGAGTAGTATTAAACATCCGGTTTACGCCATTATTTAGTGCTTAATTAATGTATTCAAATTCAGTTATTAATTTGGTTAACCGCCTATGGAAAAAAGTTATAAGCTAAATAAAAATTATGACGTCACGATCTAAGCGTGAGGTTGGCCGAACTTTTGGAAGCACTAACGATGAAACTTATATCATTCTTTAGTGCTTAGTTAGTAGAGGTTAGTGCTTCAATCACTTTTGTAGCTGAATTTAAAAATAAAAAGTTATTGGCGAAAAAA